ACGTAAGCATCCACCTTAGCGGGCCGCTAAAAATAAATTAATACATAAATCAGTAAAAAACAGACATGATATTAAACAGTGAAAACAAAGACAAATATATTTCAAACTTGCACGGTATTCACCCAAGTCATTATTCTATCATTGTTCACAAATGCATCAGATAACATTCCAGAAGTAATCACTTATATAAACATTTAAAAGGACAACATAGTTAGTGCAGGTTCAATGACAATATAAAGAGTAGTAGTTTATTCTTGAAACTTAAATTTTCAACACTGTGAAGTTAGTATTTGTCTTTTGGTTGAAGTAATGCAATTCATTCAAGTTTCAATTTACAGAAGAAGAATAGAATCTGAAACTTAAAATCGCAACACGAATGACTATCGCAACTTGAAAATGACTATCGCAACGTGAAAATGACTATCACAACGTAAATTGAAACTTGAATGGATTGCATTACTTCAACCAAAAAACAAATATTAACTTCACAGGGTTAAAGAATAAACAGTTTAGCAGTATTGGCAGCAACCGAATGAATTTACTAAGCAATCTAAGTGAAATGGTTAATCTAAGTGAAATTAATCTAAGTGAAATTAAATTTATCATCAAGTTAAATATGAAAAATATTAAACTTACCTCGTTGCGTAGAGTATGAACCTCATTCTGCAACGATGCTACCATCTAACGTAGAGCGGCTACCTCACCACGTAAAGTAGACACCTCAACACGCCATGCACCATTGTCATCGCGTAAAGTACGACCTCCTCACGCAAGGCATTGACCTCATCACGTAACTCCCCTAACTCATCCCGTGAAGGTGGAGAACAGGAGATAAACGTCGTGGCATCTTTTCGGCCGCCTATCATGAGGTGATGGTGAGAAGAGGCTCGATGATGTGAGAATAGGTGATGGCTCTCGTTGTGGAGGTGTATAGTGGGTCGATCAGGTGATGGCTTGGGTGAGGTGATGGCTCTCGAAGTGGAGGCTGCTCATCATTGCCATCAAAAAAATGCTTACTAGCTTGCCCAATCAGTGGCAAGCTCAGCTTCTGTGGGTGTAGCCTCTGTAATGGAGTGTTGGACTCCTAAGAATATAAAAGCTCAAACAAAGTTAAACGTGTATAGTATAACTTGTTTATAAACATATGGTAGTATTTGTGTTAACTTACATTATTTATTATCGTATAGTAGTAAATCTTCACATTGCTGCAAGGTCCATTTCCTCTTCAGGAAATAGCCCTAGGAATATCATTAGAAGTTTTAATGCATATGTGCATGGCGGGAAAGGCCTCAAATATCCAAATCTACAAACAATATAATAACAAACATCAGTAATTGTTAAATAATAATTAATTATAATTTTGGAAACATTATATAAAATTCTTACCTTAAAGGCCCAAATAAAGCCTGACAAAGTGTATTTGGAACCTCGCCACGCAAACTTTTTCGATCATCAAAGGCAGACGACAACTTATTCCATGTAGCTTTCCATAGATACAAACCCCAGAAACAGGTTCCATACATTTAGGTCCTCTACCAATTTAATTAGATCATTAGGAATAGGTTGTCTGGCCTCTGCCTAAAAAGCCGGCATGCAAAAGTATTAGAAGGCATACTCGGACAACATCGACGTCATCCATCGAGTAAAACCATCTTTCTTATTCAATAATCTCGTCAAGTCTTCCACGTGTAAATTGGCTTCTCCATTGACAGCTCAGAAAAACCCGGGATAACCATGATAGGTGGGTAATATGTCTAGTGTACCGACTACATCATCGTGTCCGAAGCGTAGACCGGTGATTAAGCAAAACTCCTCCCGCCCAAAACATGTATACGCCGGTGGAAAATCAAACCATATCTCTTCATCGACGTTGTATAGTCTCTGGTAGATCGCTAGTCATGGTTTGAAGAAATAGATGGGTCAACATAGCATCTCCACCCGATGTGTACTTTCAGCCATGGCCCGAAGCAAGTATCCTCAAATATTTTTCTTTGTGCAGGTGAAAGCTTCGACGCAATTGCTTTGGCCAGGCTTAATTTATTTCTTAAGGTCAATTGAGCCGAATAAAAGTTCTACAAAAACATAAACATAAAGAGTAATAGTTTATTCTTCAAACTTAAATTTGCAACACTGTGAATTTAGTATTGTCTTTGTTTTTTTTTGTTGAAGTAATGCAATTCATTCAAGTTTCAATTTGCAGAAGAAGAATAGTTTCTGAAACTTAAAATCGCAACATGAAAATGAAAATCGCAACACGAAATGACTATCGCAACGCGAAACTAAAATCGCATTGCGATTTTGTCGTTGCGATTTTCATTTCGCGTTGCGATTCTGGTTTCAAATACTAAAATTGAAACTTGAATGGATTGCATTACTGCAACCAAAATACAAAACAAAGACAAATACTAAATTCATAGGGTTTAAAGACTAAACAGTTTAGCAGTATTGGCAGCAATCGAATGAATTTAATAAGCAATATAAATGAAATGGTTAATCTATTATGAAATTACCAGTAAACTTATCATCAATTTCAATATGAAAAACCTAATAATAATGCAAAATTTTCAAAATAAAAATAATTAAAAAACTAACCCTCGGTGGTTGATTTGGTTGATTTTCCATTTCTGACCGTGAATGATTGTGAGGGTGGCTCTGAGAGATGGAGATAGACTGATTTCGCCGGAGATGGGGGACTATTTCGTCGGAGATGGGGACGGATGTCGCCTTAGAGACTGAGAGATGGAGATGGAATGAGTTGTGATTTAGGGTTTTAGGTTATGAGTTGATTACGGGAATACTGTGGACGGTTCAGTGTTCCGATATATTAATATTCGTGTTTGGAATTTGAAAACAAAATACGTTGCGATAATAATGGCGCTTTGAAAATCGCATTGCGATAGTCAGCATCGCGTTACGATAGTCAGAATCGCGTTGGATAGTCATACTCGCATTGCGATTTACAATTCGCATTGCGATAGTTGGAAAATCGCAATGCAATAGTCAGAATCGCGTTGCGAATCTGGAAACTGATTTGCGATACCGAGATCGCGTTGCGAATTATCGATCGCATTGCGATTTAGTTGGTCATTTGGCAAATCCAAAAAAAGTTGGTTAAAATCGTATATTATAAGGCATTTTTGGTCACTGAGTTATTTTCTAAAATGTAATTTACTCTATTTATAGACCAAAATAGTCAAAGCTCCATCCAATAAGAAATTTCATTTTACATTTTCCAACCATGATATTATCCAAAAGGTAATAGTTGGTCATCCTAGAATATTTCTCTAACCGTTTGGTGAGTCATCAATAGCTCCAGAATGGACTTAGTAATATTTCTCGCATCAAATCATAGCAACACCTACAACATCAGACATAGTCACAGCACCAGAGTAGCAATTCACAAAATAATAATCATAAAATAGCCCACAAGGTACAAATTCACTCCCAATATGTAAAATATGTTAAAAAAACCTAAAAAAAATCCTAGTGATGCTCAAGTTCAAGCTTAATCTAAGTAAAATTTCTCTAAATAATAACTCTTTTGAATAGTTATCGATGTACAATCACTACAGCAAAACAGGATTATAACGACATTTTTTCAATCATATAGTGGCTTTTTAAGCGTCGCTAAAAACATTTGTGTCGCAAAAACAAACGTTGAAACTAATGTCGCAAAAGATAACGGCATTTGTAGCTTTTTATCTTTTCTTTTGTGGCGTTTTGTCCAAAAAAACGAGCTAAATGTTTTGACATATATAAGCCAAAGTTAGGTCAAATTATAATTTTGGTCCTACGTTCGAATTGAAAACGTTAATTTGACATTATTTAATTCTACTAAAAATATATGCCGATTAAAATATGAACATTTTGAAAACATCATTTCCATCATAGAAAAAAACTGGAATACTACTAAAAAACACTAATTATGTGAGATTAAATCCCAAATTGAATATAATAAAATGACCAAAATAGTTCAACTAAATCCAATTATGAATATAGTGAGACCAAATGTTCATTATTTGAGCCCCAAAATTACATGCTTCGACAAGCAGAGATCCTAAAACCAGCGGTAGTAAATAGTTTTATAAGCTCAAAAATGCAAGTTTTACAGTGACAAGTTCACAAACCAAAACACAAGCAAGTTATTTTGAATTGCATAGGGAATCATGATACACAAAGATAATAAAGGTCTGCACTTGTCTCATATAACATGCTATCATCATTGAAAGTAACATCACATGCGCCTCTATAAGAGAAGAATCAACCAAGGGTCATTTGAAAGATTTATATCGAGGTCAAGCCAACAACTCCTGCACAGAGATTACCAGGAAGAAAAAGACAAAGTAAATACCCACTAGCTTTGATATGTATGCTGGAAAGATCACTTAGTCTGACACTAAAACACTCAAGTGTAGACTGTAGTGTGGCAGAATCGACAATATTGGGTACAACGTAAGCATATAGATACATATACCGCATCCATTGTCATGCCATTGATGTGCAAATATTTCAAACAACAAGTCAAGTATATCATATATATATATATATATATGTTTGTGTGTGATTGCTTACTAAAATAATCAAGCCAGAAATAACTATGCTCGAAACACGGATGCAAGGAAAAGAAATCAAGGATGAGTCTGGAATTCTTGTCTGCTCTAAACATATAGGCATGTAGATAAAAGTATATGTGCAAATACCACATGTCAATCTTCCACCAGCATTGCCAGTGGTTAGACTAAGTTTGTCCACCTGCAGATGCATAATAAGAAATATAAGCAACCAAAATAATGCAATTTATTGAGCAAACATTCTACTTTTAGTTCTACCAAGTAAAGGAAACTCTATCATATTAACAGGGTAGCCAATGTATCACGGAATAGAAACCTTCTTGTGCCTGCAATCAATACCCCGCATCAGTTTGCATTAAAGTTAGAAACCAAAGTAAACAGAAAGTTAGGCATAAAAGTGAAAAGAAAGTATATAAAGACATTGAATACTTTTGTCTCATAACTTGCACATGAGATCTAAAGAAGGGAAAACGGAGGCACAAAGAGGATGTAACTTGGCAAAAATTGATGAAACTTAGCCTCATAAGCCAAGAAGTACATTACCATAGGACATGAAAATCTTAAATCTAACGCCAAACTTAATGAACCTTTACATATAAATTTCTCTGATTTATATGGCCCAAAATGTATGTCCACAAGAAGAAAATGACTTCTGAACAAAATATGAACAAAAGAGACCAACTTATTTAACAACTATGGCAAAAGAAAGATGGTGGAAGCCCGTCGTTCAAAATTGCCAAAGAAGAATCCTGAGCAGGCCTACTAACAACAACAAAATGATTGTGTTACCTCACAAGCATAGCTTCTAACGGCACTAGTTTTGCCCGTTTGATCACAACCATAAACTAATACACGGCATCCGAATAACACATTTCAATAGAGAAAAAAGACTGACAATTATGAAGAAAATATATAAGAATCAGAAACAAAATAATTTGAACTTGGAACCTTAATTGTTTATACCAAAGCAAAATGTTGCAAACATTGTTTTCTTCATGGTTTCCAAATCAGAGAAGAGTCCAGTGTTGCAGGAAATTATCGAGTGAGAAATGACAATCAGGAAAGAAACTACTTGTACTCAGTTGTATTAATTTTTTAGTGTTTTCTTTGTTCTAGAATTGTGCAAACAATCTACCTTGTTAGGATTTCTTGTAAGTTTGCAAATTTGTAATATTCTCTTTGAGAAAGAGTGTTCTCAAGAATTGGGGTATATTCTTGAGGGAGTTGTAAGGTTATCTCTTTGTCCTCAAAAGAAAGAACAAATTAGTGAATTTGTTGGAAAATCCTTAGTGTGAATAGCTAAGGTAGTGGACGTAGACTTTGATTGGGAAAGTTCAACCACTCTAAATCGCTGTGCAATTACTTTCAATTTTCTGCAAAAGCTTCCACCAAAATTTTAATTACCAATTCACCCCCTCTTGGCCGATTCCGTCGATCGATTAACTCAACACTAATAATTAACATAAATAATCTTACTTTGCAACCACTTGTTTTTAAATTACTCTAATTTAAAATTATGTTTTTTAATTTCTCACATCATCAAACTAACGGGAATTAATAGTTCAGGAACCAAAATAAAATAAATTGATCACATATACAACCAAATCGTTACTTTTTTCAAAAAGGATGACCAAAATAAGACAGATTGAAAATGAAAGGGAACGTCAGTGTAGTTTACTCTATATATTGTGCCAATTAGGCCCGGCCATCCGGACAATCGAGACAGCGCTAAACTGACGTTAGGGTTTTTGCGTTTGAAACGCAATAACAATGGCGCCGTTCGGGTGCATCAAGCCTGCAATATTCGGTAGGGAAGAGAAAAAACAGTTCCGCCTTCTTCTCCTTCCAATTCATTGTTCATGTTTGTTTTTTTACGATTAAATCGAACAAAACCCACACGCATCTTTTGAGCTGACTTCATTTTAAAACTCTCAATCTGAATCTCAGGCAAAAACAATCTCACATTCGCGGTTTCAACGCCTACAATCGCCACAAAAGTTCTTGAACGATTGTGGTAAGGTTTCCTTAACTGAGTTTCTCGTAGCGGTTATGCTCTGGTTTTCCTTTTTCATGTATTGTCATCTCACTTTATTTATCTGTTATACTCGTCGAGAATTCTTGTTGCACTATTCATTGTTTTTAAAATTGGAAAATGGACATGAAAGGAATTATGCAAATAGAGCTCTATTTGTTTATCCTTGTGTCCTAAAACAAGTGGATGATGAACAGTTTCTCCTTTGAGAATGGAAGGAGGCTACAGTCAGCCACACATTTTATTCCAATCCTAGAACTACTCTTTGTATGTAGTGTTTCTTACTTTCAGATGCATCTTGCTCAGGGATGGACCCAAAGGCAGTCCCCCTAAAAAATTCAAATTAGTATATTTTTTATATATTTTCTTTGTATTTTTTGCCCTAGAAGTTTATAAGTTCATCACTCCAAAAATTTAGAAGTTCGCCCTACTTAAACATAAGATCTTGCCTCGGTCCTGATCTTGCTTCAGTTAGATTATGATACCCAAAGGGAGGGACATCGGTATGCTTTTGTTGTTTGTATTAGTGGTCTTGCACGTCTCTATGCCACTTTATAACCTTATCCACTGCTGTAGAAATTCTTCTCGTTTTGTTTTTTCTCAGCTTTAGTTTTCTCTATTACTATCAAACATTCTATTTTCAAATGTTGATTTTCTTCTCTATCCTTCTCCGTCTTTGCTAGTAATGATTGTGGAGGTGGAGATAACAATGATCCCAGTGATGAAACATTTAGTAATCAGAAAATGAGGGTGAAACAGAGGTGAGAAGAGTTGGCGCTCCCTTTCAATGGTAGAGAGGTTGAGGAACCAAACAAACACGACCCCTTGTATTTCACTTTCATGGTTAGTTGATACTTGGCAACTCTTGAGGGATCATTCTTCCTTATTCTTTCTCGGATGGTAATGGGTATTGCTTGTTTGACAAAATAAATGGATGAAACTCCTATGTTCATCTGTTTAATAAAATAGACCATGCAAACTTCAAGCTTTAGTTATTGTCGTGTCTAGGTTCTTCAAGTTTTCTATTTTCATAACTGCATAGAAGGGCCATGTGTTTACGTCTCTGTATTACTGAATCATTCATTCGGGATATAGATATAGTCTTACATTGTATACATTGGTCTGTCATCGATTGTTCTAGATACTCATTGTCATGTGTTAACTTGCCGATTAACAAGACGATTGAACTCAGAGTTGCAGAATGGGAGAGTCACATCCATATATGATAAATTCATGAGTATTCAATAAAGCCAATTCAGGATTGCAGAATTGCACCATCCACCATGCCAAGTACAGTGCCAAATTCTTTAGCATATATTGGTGGCTGCAATTAACATAAACTCAGAAAGCTTAAGACAATCAACAAGAAGTTAGGTTATATTTTGTCCTATGTTAGGTTGCTACAGTCAACCTAAGATCAAGGCTGTCAACTATTCTATTACAACCTTTTTTAACATTTTAGCTAACTTCTTACTGTTTGAGGTTGGTTACCATGTGAATAAATGGTGCAAAAATCAATATGCTTTTTGTTTCCCCTTAAAAGTTCACATTCTCCAGACTGTCAGAGAAAAACGGTGCAGTTACTATTCGAAACCTTTAATGTCTCGGGATTTTATGCGTTGGAGCGAGCAGTATTATCTCTCTATGTTGTCGGGCATATCTCAGGTTGTACTGTTGATATTGGTCATGGGAAGATAGGTACATACCTGTATGCCTTTTAAGAGTGTAGTGTTTAAGTTTTTGGCTGCTTGATTCATGTTCTTTGTGGACATCACCAGTCTTTTTCCTAATAGCAGTGGAAGCATGACCAACATGAACCTGGCTTTGAAGTCTTTTTAAAATGCATTAAGTATTTAGCTGTCAAGAGTTTGTTTACCTCATAGAGTTGGAAGTTAGCTGTGGATGATGTATCAGGAAACACTTTCAGTTGTCTTTAAGCTACAAAGGCTTCTTTTGTTTATTTAATTGATTATATTGCCATGTCAGTTACACTTTTATCAACAGAAATAGCTACAGAACTGGAAGATGTTGTCCAACAAATTGCCTGAAGAAGATTTGAAGTCGGAGGTAGTGATTCGACAAGTTTTTGCTCAAGAGCTGGGAAAATCATATCCAATGGTGAACCTCAACATCTTTGATGCTGAGAAACTAAAAGATAAATTTGCATGTTGTGCTGAGGATGAAGTTGCCTATGCCAGAAAGCTTATAACATGCGTGACAGAGGAACATACCATTCCTGATGGACAAGTTTGTCTTTTCCTTTTATGCTCTCCGTCCCTTGTTTAGGTTTCTGATTTTTGACTCAATTCCTTAAATCTAAATGTAGACCTAAGTGTATAAAAGATTGACATAAGGACTAATGGATATAAGAAATTTGCATATTATACTTAAGAAAAAGAAGTGGAATATTTTTTATACTGTAATAAATATAAAATGAAAGGTCAGGAGAAAGAGAAAGATAAGAAAAACTGACTAAAATTATATATGAGATGTGTATGTATGCCATGGGATTTTGTGAGAGGTGAGTAGTTTATGATCTATTATCATCAGTTCTATATCTATATCTACATTACTAATAATTATGATGGTTTCTATTGAATTTGGCTATTAACTTTCAAAACATAATACAAATTTTAACTGTTTGAACATGGTAAGAGTACTTTTACGTAATGAGCTTATCAAAGTGAACAAGAAAATGCATCTTTGTCTATCAGCTCTTTGGGTTCTATAGTTAGTCATTTAGTATTGTGCCCACATCTTTAAAGATTTTTAATCTTGCTACTTCGAGTTTGGATATTTTGAATAAAAGTTTACCAAGAATCAAACAATCGTGGCAGTTTTGAGGAATATAATAAGCTGATGGATCATTTTACATGTATTATTGGTATTCTTTGATTATACTAGTAAACTGGCTATCCCACTTTATTTTTTGGCAGGTCTTCTACGGTTAGGATCTCTGAGTTGCTAATGTTTCTGATTGTAAGACTCTTCAAATGACTATTCAGGTGATGAAGAAGGTAATTTCTGGACTCTCACAAGGTAGATTATCAATAATATGTTTGGCTTCAATGTTCAATTTAATATTTTTAATTCCTATATAATGTATGGTATTTGTTACGCAATTTGGTACAGAGATCAAAACACGCTTTGTAAATGTGGCCCAATGAATATTTGACATGTGTGCTCTAGGAAAATATAGAATATTTATCTGTGATAAAAGGAAACAGGAAAATATTGAAGCAAATTTGGTACCAAATAGGATTTCATTGGCCAAATAATGCAGGCTGAATATTTTTTGTTGTTGAAAAATACAAGTGTTGAGAATTAATTTGGGATCTAAGCTATTTGTTACCGTATGTATGGATCTCGTCATGAGGGAATTACGAGTTGCGTAAAATATAATAAATAATTAGAACTCGTAATGAGAATATGACGAGTTTCATACAATTTTCTTCCAATTCATATGACGAGTTTTATTTTTTAAAATGTATAGAACTCGTTATTCTTTCATGGTGAGTTTTACGTGCACGGTAGCAAATGATCTGGATCCTAAAATAATTTTTTAACACTTGTATTTAAAAAAAATTTAAATCAGGTATGATGGAGTATTTTTTTAATGGTGAGGTTAGATCAGATCCAGATTTAGGTATAAATATTAAAATGTTGACTAAATACTTGCAGTAATCTATTGTTTCAATCAAATACATTCATCAATCTAGTTATTTAAATTTGATGATATCGTACTCGATTAACATGAAAAATATTTATTAATTAATATTTAAAAACAAACATGTATTAAAAATGACATAAACCATTTTATTACAAAAAATGATAGTGCTAACAAAACTTGAACATAAAATCTAGGATAAATAATTTGATTTGATTATTGGATGACCTGATTTGAATATTTGGATATTGATTCGATTTTATAGATAATTCAAATAGGATATTCAGTAAAAGAATTAGATATGGATCAAGGAAATTTTGATTTTTGATTATTCGAATATCTAAAAATAATGGGTTTTTAGTGTAGGCCCATTCGTATTTTGCCTTTATGTTTTTTAGCTTACTTTTATACGCATGCCGGGGTAATCTCCATTTTCCATTCTGATAGTTTTACTGTTATATGATTAATATTTTTGATTATTATGTTTGTTTCTGAGGAATTGTTTGATAGTAAAATAGTAGAATTAAGAACGAATTTTATTTGGTTTTCGTGAAATATTTTTATGTGAATTTTCGTAATGGAGTGCAAAAATAATTTTCAAATTGTTAGGGGGTGCTTTCTTTTTCGTTATTATCAGTTTTGCGATATTATTTTTTAATTTGCAAATTATAGGGAAGGGTGACTAAAAAATATTCTTCAAACCAATGTTTATATATATGGGGTAGGATCTATTTATACAATGTAAATTTTTTAGTTTTACACAGATTTAGAACAGTTTGATGAGTGAAAATAGGTGATTGAAATTGACTTTTTATTTTTTTCCAATAAATATTTTCATATTTCTTATTTTTAATCTCAATCATATGTTTTCACTTATTCAATGGTCTTAAATCCGCGTAAACTAAAATAGTTTTATATTATATATGTGTGTGATCTTATTAAGTTTATTGACTTCTATATAATTTTTTTAATGTGAATTATTATGGAATCTCAAGTGAATAAATTATTATTTTTAATATATATATATATATTTAGATCGAATATTCAGATATACTATTTAAAAATTCGGATATATGAAATCTAGATATTTATCTTCTTTAGATTTGATTTGGATCACTATTTTAGTTATCTAAAATTTTAGATATTCAAATTTTTTGAATCGAATCAGATTTAATATTGGAATCAATTCACTCCTAATTAAATCTTCAATTATCAATGTAAAAACTTTTAAATTGATAAAAGAACTATCAACACAAAAACTTTTAACAGTTTACTAGTTGATTGTCGATAAAAGGAAACATCACCAACTATTTAATTATAAAATTAAAAAATTTTAAAGATTTTCAGATTTTTGAGTCGTTTAACGTATAAATCATATATGAATTATTTATTAATTTTACTTCTATATAGGCTATATAGCCCAAATCTAGAAGTTGTGTGCGTAACAAATTTGGTAAAGTATATAAATATTTCTTAATTATATGCATATTAAAAAAATTTATTATTAAATTTATAAAAAAAAAATTGATAAATTTTAATAGAAAAAATAGTTTGGAAAAAAATTACTCTAGAACATATAAATAGCTAGACAACCATTTTTATTTTTAATGATAGAAGATTCAACAAAATAATCTTCTTCATTTGTAGACCATTTGTATACTTTATCTTAAAAGTTTTAGGATAGAAACAGAGCCTTAACTTGATCCAGTGAGATGGAAGCCAAACCTAAGTGTCCCCAATTAATGGTTAAGGGTTTGAACTTCATATATAAATGATTCAAGCTCGCCTCTTCTCTTCACTCTATCAACTTACAGAAAGCTGTTACCAAAGGTACGTTCTTCCTCTTGTTTTCTCCCCCTCGATTGTTTCCTTTTCGTTACTTACAAGGTGTAAGCATTCAAGTCTGTGTTTGTAAAACTGTTTGATTTTTCATCTGCACCAACTCTCCTGGGCTTATCTGAATGTCTAACTATGAAGATCAAAGCCCCAATGTTGGTGCTACATTCATGCCGTTTCACGTGTTGCAGAATAGCTTTCGCTTATCAACCAGCTCTTCTGTGTCAATTCGGCGGCTAAATCTCCTAATATTTTTTTTACCTCACTGCACCTTTAGCTTGTTTTCGACGAACCGACCGGAAATTAGGCTAGTCATCGAGGCGTATAATCGATCTGGCGGTTTTACACGTGCGGGCATTTCCTTTAATGATTTCTCTTCTAAAACCATCGGCTATATCTTTTCCTTTTGATTTGATTTCACAAGTTGGCGTTGGCGATGATTATGTTTTATCCGCGCTTCTGAGAGCAATCCATGAAGCATAACGATAAAAATGGTTGAATTCTTGATATGAGCCAATCCAAAACAAGTTTTAATTAGAGAAAAAGAAGTTTTATAATTTTGGAATTTAATTAGTTTTTGGCTATGAGGATTTACAATACAGCTTATTATGCCAGTTCTGCTTCAGAGAATTCTTGATTGAGAAGCTGATTCACTCTGAGCTCTCTATTTTACGTAGTTTAATTTAGTAATCGTTTTTTAACATGATTTGAAGCAGTCTATGATGATTTATCCGATTGTTTGATATGTAGATTTTCTCAAGCCTTGACTATCAGGGGAACCTACTTGGGGTGCTTCATCTTTCATGAAACTATTGAATCTTCTTGAGACTTCATTAAAGTAAATAATTTTTTAATTTTATTAACACACAGGTTTTTAAAATTTACAATAAATGGTTTTAGTGAGCCAATGATGATATAATCCACTTTTGGATGAGGTGCATGGAGCTAAGAATGAACCTACTTGGTAGAAGCTGCAATTCTATGATATTTATGGATTCAGCTGAGGCTTTCACGTATTGTTAATGATTTTTGTTCACTTATATGTGTTTTATTGTTTGGTTTTGATTGAGTTTAATTATACCCTAAATCTTTTACTACTTAATTGTGGTTTAGGGTCTGAAAAATTCATACAGTTTTGTGTTGTCATCAGCTTCTACTCTTGCATTTTTACGAGATTGGAGTTAAATAACAGCACTAAATTGTTCTTTTGTTAATTTTGCGGGTCTTTCATGGATTTCTTACATTTTTCTAGGATTGATATAAAGTGTGGATAGATTGTTATTCCCCTGCTTCATTCTCCATACAATAATATGGTTTCCATCTTTTCACAATTCATCCGACTCTGTAGACAGATTTTTATTCTTTATCTTCTTAATTCCTAACCATGAAGAGTATGACAGTTTGTTTTGGAAGAAGACTAATGGTTAGCCCTGGAACATTACGAGGAAAGATTTAGAAGTGATGATAAATCGATTCATTTTATTGTTACGATTACAATTTTGGAATTCTAAGCCATCTGAATAAAGATAAATCGAGAGCAAAGAATGTTCTTTGAACAATGATGTCTACATAGCCTCGGAACTTTGGATGTAAAATTTGGGTTTAGTTCCTACAATTAAATGTTATTGTTGCTTCATAGCTGTTAACGTTTTTGCCCTTCTTACTCCAGGTTTGAATCTTGGTTCCAGAAAGAAGCAAGCCTCTCCTCATGCGCTATCTGTATTTGTCTAGTGAATAAGTTTCTGCACGATGGTGAGTGTGTCATCTCGGCATGGAACCTCGTTCTGATTTTTCTTGAGGTTAAGGAGTGTTGGACAAAATACCAGACGACCAGTTTCCGCTCCCGGATGTGGATTAGACCACCCAATTCTATTGTCAAAACCAATGTTGATGGAGTGTGCAGCGCTTCTTGCAATGTTGTGGCTATCGAGTTATTGCAAGAGACAATAACGGAATGGTAGTTGGTGGGATGTGTAGGTAGGTTCTCTACCGTTCACCGCTGAATCCACTGAAGCTGAGGCATTCATGCAAGGATATAGTCTGCAGTTGAGAACGGATGGAACAATGCGATCATAGGAGATACAATCTCAATTGTTAACAGGCTTGCTAATTCCATACGAAGATGTCTCCACAATTGGATTGTTACTTAACGAAACTTGTGAGATCTTTGCTTCCAATTTGGAGTTAAAAGTTCTCTTTGTCAATCGTGTGGCTCGCTCTCTTGCCTAATGAGTTTTGTTGAATCAATTCGTTTTGGTTTTATTATGATAGTTGGAATGTATTCGAAATGATGTAATTCATGACGCAATTGGAACCTAGTGAATCATTTTTACTCAAATATATATATATATATGGGTGGATGGTGCAATTCTTGCTAAAGTGGTGTTCCACAAAATCAGCATGCCTGGTGGTGTTCATAGAAAGTGCTTTTAATAAATTTTTTACTTGAATGAGCTTTCTGCCTGTATTATCTTAGAATGCTGGTAATGTCAATTTAAGTACGTTTCTTTGTGCCTTAGTATGTAATTCTATCGAGGGGTTAGTTTATTCTGGGAACTACTTTGTTATAATTGAGAATCAAGAAGAATACAGTGAAGAAAAATAGTTGTGGAGGCATTGATTGAATGACTTATTTTCTCTTATCCCACATCCTAGTATTCATTTCAACTTAACCAATTCAGAATGGGATTGAACAATTATCATTTCAACTTAACCAATTCAGAATGGGATTGAACAATTAGGGTTTGTTTGTTTTTTTATAATTGATTTTTCAGATATTGTTCTTCATTTTTAGTGTGTTGGCAAAAAAAGATGATCAATGTAATTTATTTTCTTGATCAATTGAATTTTCTTTGTATCTTTTTAGAAAATAACTTACGGTTGGATCTTTCACTACAAAGCATAAACACTCAATATTATTATTTTATATACTTTATAATATATTATTTTAATATCATTTTAAAAAAATATTAATTATTAAATTATATTTATTGATAGTTTAATAATATAATATAATATTTTTATTGTTATAATTATATATATATAATAAATCATTAATAAAATTAATAATAATTAATTTTATAAAATAAATTATTGAATATTTCAAATATATCTTTAAAATATACTATTTTAATATTTTAATAATATTATTAATTTAATAAGTAATTGATATTAATAATAATATATTTTTAATAAATAATTAATATAATTTATAATAATTTTATTTTAATGAAATATGATAATTTTAATATTTTTATTTATAAAATTATACCTATAATATTTTAATAATATTGAATAAATTCTTTTAATATTTTAAAAAGAATAATATTATTTTGTTAATAAATAATATTATTATTATATTTGATGTTTATAATAAATAATTTTTTTTAAAAAGTTACTAACTAGTGAAAAATGAATAATTCAACATCATCTAAACATTGTAAAATGATTTTCAAAACATATTCCCATGAAATGTAATTTAGTTTATGGAATTATTTTTAAAAATATTTTCATGAAATGTAATTTACTTTACAAAATTTATTTTTCGAAATATAATTTTCATGAAACAAACATAATCTTATTAACGGACGATAAAAAATAACAACATTTTAATAACCTACTTGGCTAACACATTGTCAATATGAATTGTCTATGTGATCATATATGGATGTGACTCCTCATTTTGTAACTGAGTTGCATCAGTTTGGTGACATTGTCTTTTATTTCTTTCTAATATCCATATTGTGGTTTTAAACACCCTGAAATTGTCATACGAATGTGTTGTGACTTACCTTGTTTTTGTTAACGAAATTATTTTATATGTAGAACAAATTATTTTATATGTAGAACAAATGTAAAATTTTATGTTAAGAGAATTTTTTTAAAATTTAGTAAAAAATAAACTTGTAATATTTTAGAGATGTAAATAAATTTTTAACATAAATATAAAAAATCTAAAATACATGATAATTTAAAATTTTCAAAGGACAATTTGTAAGATGCAAAAAACTTCTAGTATAATCTGACAATGATTATCTAGTATAATCATTTATAGCATGGGTAGATGTATATGCTGCAGATGTATGTGGCTCTTATTAAGAGTAAATGCATATTTATTATTTTAGGAATTTTGTTAAATTTAATATATTTATGGAAAAAAAAATATGGGATCTTTAACTTCTCTTTCGATAGTTGGACTATTGTTTGGGGTTTTATGGATTTTCTGGGTGCGATTTGCTTGGATTTTGGGGCTCAAGGTGGATTTATGCAGGTGGTTGCTAGGTGTGGTGATGACAGGTGTTGATTGGAAGAAATGTTCTCAGGGGTGGAGGAGCAAACCCTATATTTTTCCTCTTGAGGTCCATGATAAGGAACTATATGTTAATCCACCGAGGGCGGTCTTTGATGATGAGGTTTTTGAGTGAAGATACTCATTGGTGGGATAATTTATTGGATCAACATCTAACTTTGGTTTGATGCAGAGCTTGTGGATTTAATGTGGGGAAAGAAATCGATGGTTAAGGTAAGTCTTACATGGTCGAATCTTTATATTTTAACATTTCTAATGGAACCTCTAGGGATTGGGTGTTGGAGAATGAACCGTGGCATATCCAACATAAACCATTAATCTTGAGGAAGTGGGAGCCGAATTTGGAAATATTGGATTTTGATTTGACCAAATGCTTGTTTGAGTTCATATTTTCAATGTTCTATTGAAGTTGTACTCTAAAAAGGGTTAGCTACATAGTAGTGCATTGGGAATCCTTTGTACATGGATTCCATTACTGAGTCTAAGCAACGATTGGAATGTGCCAAGGTTTTCTTAGAAGTAGGTAATGTGGTTAGAATGCCTCGAGCTATTGTTGTCAAGATAAGGGATGGACGTCGATGATAGTTAGGGTTCAGGTATTATGGTTCCCTCCTTGTTGCTCTAAGTGTAAGATTTTTGGACATGCTGATAAGAACTATGTTGAGAGGGGTGAGAAGTTAGGGAAAAAGAATGGAGGGTTAAGCAAGCTTTGGTTGATGTTGGCTTGGCAGAAGAGGGTCTATAAGTGATGCTCAAGTAGTGCAAGTGGAGCAGCCAATACAGGTGTTGGGGTGTAGATGTTACAGAAGGGAGGTAATTCTGATGTGCATGAATGTCAAAGGGGAAGGATAATGTTGGAAATGTAGTGATAGAGAAGGAGGGGACTACTCGGGAACAAGTTGTGGCTGACAAAGGAAATATTATAGTGGTTGTGTCTTGTTATGAGGAATTTCCTTCTCTTAAGGATCATAAGAAGAAGATTAAAGGGAATAAGGGAGACAAAAGAAATATTGTCCTTGCAGGATCTTCTAACTGATTTGTGGTCTTAGCATACATTATAAAAGATTGTGAAAGTAGTGGGAGGAAGCCAAGGTTAGCCTTTCAAGGGGTGGAAGCAATCCTTTAGGAATCGAAAACTAAGAAGAGCACTTAGTTGGATAAAGTTAAAAAGGTTAGTTTAGAGGCTGCTAGTTTAGGGGTGGTGTTTTAATCCCTAGAATGTGAGAGGGTTTAATCAACCTAAGAAGTAGTGTGAGGTGTTTACTAGAGTGAACAAATTGTAGGTGGAAGTATTTTGTATGCTGGAAATAAGGGTTATGTTAAATAAGGTTGTTGATGTTGTGGCTAAGTATGCTAATGAATGAGAGCATTGTTGGAATTATGACTCTATTAGAAATGGTAGGATATGGATTTTCTTGGAGGAATGGGTTGGAGTTTTCTGTTATTCATTCTGTTAACCAGTCTGTGACTTTGACCGGTAAGCTAGGGGAAAGGATATTGTTATCACAACAGTCTATGATGCAATTTTGGTACTGTTAAGAAGGAATTATGGTAACAGTTGCATGAGATTGAGGTGCTTTTTGGGATACCCTTTGGGTTTTAGGGGGATTTTAATGTTACCATGTGTATGGAGGAAAGTTATACTTTTGGGGGTTAGAGTGTTATGTGACAGCTGACATAGAGGATTTATAGGGTTA